GTACCTATTTATCTACTTGCATTTTGATGTGCTTTCGAACTGCTAGGTTGACAGGAGCAGGGACCGAGCAACGGGAGCTCACCCCGTCATGGGGATTTGAACCGCCGACCTTCTGATCGGCAAGTCCTAGGCTCTGTGGTTGAACCCACAGCGCCACCCGCTTTGTCTTCTGGAACACTTAAAACATTTCAGTGTGTTATATTAGTATCAAAATAATTTTATTTGCAGAATATGGATAGATGTCTTTTTTCCAAATCTAGTTGTTGTTTTTCGTTCCCCAGTGCATTTTTTATCAATAAAAATAATAATCAGCGAGCAAATTTTTATTCTGAAAGTGTGGCCCGGAGGAGGGGAGGAATTTTGAAAACCACTCCAAAACACATTTGGAGCAAGCCCCCTCCTTCCCCCAAAGGATCCTGGGTGCTGTAGTTCCTGAACACCGCGAGGGGTAAACTACAGCGGCCAGAATCCTTTGAAGGAAGGAGTGCGCTTTCAAAGCACCCTGTGCGCCCAGCTGCCTTCTCTCGCGGCTCAGCCCATTCGTCCATCTAGCTCCGTACTGCTTGCACTGACTGGCAGCGCCTCTCCAGGGGTCTCTCCCAGCTCTACTGGGGACGGAACCGGGAGGGTTTTCTGCCCTTACCTGCGAGTAACTCTGCTGCAGCCTGGCGATGCCTTCCTTCTCCACCTCCCAAGCGGGGCGCTTCTGCTTTTGGCGCTGCTGTCGCAGCCGGTCCTTGCGCTTGGCGTAGTTCTTCTTCCAGCGCTCGAAGTTGCGCACCGGGTCCGCGCTGGGCCCACCGAAGGTCCCCCGGCTTTTCTCCATCCCGCCTCGGAAGCAGCCGGCGTGGGGAGAGACGGCAAACACGCTTCACGGCAGCGTAACGCGCGTCGGCCGGAGGAGGAGCCGGGCGCACGGAGAGCGCGTCAGCCTCACCATCTCCGCCCCACGGGAAGGGAAAGCCCAGCCCCTCCGCGGGCGGGAGAGGAGCCTGCCCTACGGGAAGATCCTCCCCGCAGATCCCCAGATCTGCGGGGGAATCTGCCCCGCGTGGCCTTAATGCATCCTTTGATTCGTCCATTGATTTCAGTGCGTCTATTGATTCGTTCCAAATGGTTATCCTTGCGCTGGATAACTTATATTAAAATGTACGGTATATTTCTATGCAGCACTTCCGTATTGGCCGCTTGGGCTAATGCTGCGCGTTTTTTAAATGCCGCTTGCTAAAAGCCATGAGAACAGAGAGCGGGGGTGGCTGGGGCAGAAAGAGAAAAGAACGATATTATTGGGCAGGCTGCAAAGCGAGGCTTCATCTGAACCTAAATTTTGCTCCCTCCCCCCCCCCCCGCCCCGGAATTATCCTGTGGAGTTATAAGGGACCGCGAAAGTCATTTAGTTCAGGATTTCCCAAACTGTTTGGGGAACTACAAATCCCGTGATCCCTGATCACTAGTCCCGGTTGCTAGGGATAATGGGAGTTGTAGTCCAACGGGAGACCCAAGTTTAAGAACCCCTGAACCCCTGCAATCTTTTGCCCAACGTGGGTCTCGAACCCACACCCCTGAAAATAAGAGTCTTGTGCCCTACTGGCTTGGGCTATCCAATCCAAACCTGCTTTCGCAAAATTTATACACTGCTGCTTTATTGGGGGAGGGGGGGGAGAGAGAGCGAGAGAGAGCAACCTCAAAGTGGTTTAAGCTCATCCCTATGGAGATGTGTAGCGTTAATAAAGAGGAGACTATCTGCTACGCGTTTTGAAATAAAGCCAGCAACATACAGCTAGCCCCCCGCAGATTGCCTGGACGATTGTCGCCGTTCAATCAGGTTTACCTTTGAGCTGAAGTTACATTTGTGCGGTTAAAAACCACTAGAGGTCGTAACTCTTGCATATGTGTATAATACTCATGAATGTGAAACAGGCATAATAGCTGACAGAAGTGACTTGAGCTTTGGGTTTCCCAAACCTGAGTTGAGGTTTGGAGTATATAGGATGACAAAGAGTATCTCTGTACATGTGCAGAGTGCCTTTCCTGCACCACTCATCCCAATTCAACCTTGCACGCTTAGAAAGGTTGTACATGTGCAGAGTGCCTTTCCTGCACCACTCATCCAATTCAACCTTGCACGCTTAGAAAGGTACACAGAGAAGGAAAACATCAGCTGATCTTGCTCATTATTTTATGGGAAAGCCTATGATAGCATGCATAAGGTATCGAGAACTGCTGAGATCCTAGCACCTGAAATACGGAAGAAAACTATTTATAAACTTTTCCCCCATCATGGGCTCTGAAGGCGCCATATATAATAATAAAGATAAATTTTGTTCCAAAGAAACCAATTGGAGCTATTGGGGACCATAGGGGATCACATTTGTATGGTTCTGATAGGGGCTTTCAGCTACATTAGTAAAGAAAAAGTGCTTTGTATGTGTTATAACGGTGGGACGCAGGTGGCGCTGTGGGTTAAAGCCTCAGCACCTAGGACTTGCCGATCGAAAGGTCGGCGGTTCGAATCCCTGCGGCGGGGTGCGCTCCTGTCGTTCGGTCCCAGCGCCTGCCAACCTAGCAGTTCGAAAGCACCTTCGGGTGCAAGTAGATAAATAGGGACCGCTTACTAGCGGGAAGGTAAACGGTGTTCCGTGTGCTGCGCTGGCCTGCCAGAGCAGCGATGTCACGCTGGCCACGTGACCCGGAAGTGTCTGCGGACAGCACTGGCTCCTGGCCTATAGAGTGAGATGAGCGCACAACCCTAGAGTCTGGCAAGACTGGCCCATACGGGCAGGGGTACCTTTACCTTTACCTTTATGTGTTATAACACTGTATTTAACTAAACTTACTTCCAGATGGGAATCCAAGGCTCTGTATACACATTTTATTCTAGAACCAACAGAAACCGAGTACTTGGATGTGCTTTTTATGTAGTACTCACACCATCTAGAGCTATTGCATATTTCTGGTTCTGAAAAGTGCTTCTTAAGCAACTGGTTTTATTTCCAGAAGAAAAAGCTCATTGCAGATTGAGTCAGCATTACACTGCTGTCATGGGCATAGCTGGGGGGGGGGAGCGGAGGAGCTGCCTCCACTAAATCAAGTAAATAAATAAAAATACTTAACTAAAAGCAGAAATTGTAGAAAGATTTTGACAGATTTTTCTGAGATCAAAAGAAAGTAATTTAAAATAACTGTTTTTGAGACATTCCATTCCGAATCTTCCAAACAGAGGATGATGACAGGTGGGTGTCCTCCCCCCCCCACAAATAAATATTGGTTCCGCCCATGCCTGCAGTGAGTCCATTTGAAAACAGATGTAGGTGTGGGTGGGTGTGCAGCAAGATCACAGTGAAGACCACTTCTTCCTTTACCTGGGGCACCTACAGGGAGGTAAAGGTAAAGGTACCCTTGCCCATTCGGGCCAGTCTTGACAGACTCTAGGGTTGTGCGCCCATCTCACTCAAGAGGCCGGGGCCAGCGCTGTCCGGAGACACTTCCGGGTCACGTGACCAGCGTGACAAAGCTGCATCTGGTGAGCCAGCGCAGCACACGGAAACGCCGTTTACCTTCCCGCCAGTAAGCGGTCCCTATTTATCTACTTGCACCTGGGGGTGCTTTTGAACTGCTAGGTTGGCAGGTGCTGGGACCGAGCAACGGGAGTGCACCCCGCCGCGGGGATTCGAACCACCAACCTTTCGATCGGCAAGCCCTAGGCGCTGAGGCTTTTACCCACAGCGCCACCTTACAGGGAGGTAGGGATAACCTAATCAAAGGGAGGCATATCAAATGCATATCAAGTAACCTGGCTCCCAGTACGTTTCCAAGCACAATTCAAAGTGTTGGTGCTGACCTTTAAAGCCTCAGTCCAATATACCTGAAGGAGCGTCTCCACCCCCATGGTTCTGCCAGGACACTCAGGTCCAGTGCCGAGGGCCTTCTGGCAGTTCCCTCGCTTTGAGAAGCCAAGTTACAGGGAACCAGGCAGAGGGCCTTCTCGGTAGTGGCACCCACCCTGTGGAACGCACTCCCATCAGATGCCAAGAAAATAAACAACTATCTGTGTTTTGGAAGACATTAAATAGCAGCGCTGTTTAATGAAGTTTTTAATGTTTGATGTTTTATTGTGTTCTTAATATTCTGTTGGGAGCCACCCAGAGTGGCTGGGGAAACCCAGCCAGATGGGCAGGGTTGTTGTTGTTGTTGTTTAGTCATTTAGTCGTGTCCGACTCTTCGTGACCCCATGGACCAGAGCACGCCAGGCACCTCTGTCCTCCACTACTTCCCGCAGTTTGGTCAAACTCATGCTGGTAACCTCGAAAACACTATCCAACCATCTCGCCCTCTGTCGCCCCCTTCTCCTTGTGCCCTCCATCTTTCCCAGCGTCAGTGTCTTCTCCAGGGAGTCTTCTCTTCTCATGAGGTGGCCAAAGTACTGGAGCCTCAGCTTCACGATCTGTCCTTCCAGTGAGCACTCAGGGCTGATTTCCTTAAGAATGGATGCGTTTGATCTTCTTGCAGTCCATGGGACTCTCAAGAGTCTTCTCCAGCACCATAATTCAAAAACATCAATTCTTCGGCGATCAGCCTTCTTTATGGTCCAGCTCTCACTTCCATACATCACTACTGGGAAAACCATGGCTTTAACTATACGGACCTTTGTTGGCAAGGTGACGTCTCTACTTCTCAAGATGCTGTCTAGGCCTGTCATTGCCCTTCTCCCAAGAAGCAGGCGTCTTTTAATTTCATGGCTGCTGTCACCATCTGCAGTGATCATGGAGCCCAAGAAAGTAAAATCTCTCACTGCCTCCATTTCTTCCCCTTCTATTTGCCAGGAGGTGATGGGACCAGTGGCCATGATCTTCGTTTTTTTGATGTTGAGCTTCAGACCATATTTTGCGCTCTCCTCTTTCACCCTCATTAAAAGGTTCTTTAATTCCTCCTCACTTTCTGCCATCAAGGTTGTGTCATCTGCATATCTGAGGTTGTTGATATTTCTTCCGGCAATCTTAATTCCAGTTTGGGATTCATCCAGCCCAGCCTTTCGCATGATGTATTCTGCATATAAATTAAATAAGCAGGGAGACAAAATACAGCCTTGTCGTACTCCTTTCCCAATTTGAAACCAATCAGTTGTTCCATATCCAGTTCTAACTGTAGCTTCTTGTCCCACATAGAGATTTCTCAGGAGACAGATGAGGTGATCAGGCACTCCCATTTCTTTAAGAACTTGCCATAGTTTGCTGTGGTCGACAGCAAGATGGGCAGGGTATAAATAATAAATTATTATTATTATTATTATTATTATTATTAACCATACCCACTCATGGATGCCAGGATCTAGAATCAACCTAGACTGACATTGAGAACAAGCATGAATGCTTTTGCGTGGAGAAAAATACATGTTTGTGCTACAAACAAGTTAGTGCGTACACAGCTTTGATCACATTTGAGTGGGACATCGTGTTGAGAAGCTTTAAGATGTATAGATTGCAAAACACTACACATACATATGCATCGTGATTAATAGCCAACAGAGGCGCCATGTTGCATCTAACATTGGGGGGGGTCACATGTGTGTGACATTACACACACGTGATTTCACACATGCGGCACTGGCACATTGGGCTCCTCAAAGGGTCACAACAGAAAGCTGGACCAACTGTTCTGCTTTCTATTAAGCAAGATTTTTTTCCAGTCTTCAGACCCAAATGTTTCAAATACATTAATTTTCCTTTTCACACAAAAAATCCAAAAAGGGGTTCTCTTAAGTGCTGGAACCTGAAGCGTATGTAACCTGAAGCGTATGTCACCTGAGGTACCACTGTAATTCGTTCCGGAGGTCCGTTCTTAACCTGAAACTGTTTTTAACCTGAAGCACCACTTTAGCTAATGGGGCCGCCGCGCCACCGGAGCATGATTTCTGTTCTCATCCTGAAGCAAAGTTCTTAACCTGAGGTAATATTTCTGGGTTAGCGGAGTCTGTAACCTGAAGCGTATGTAACCCAAGGTACCACTGTAATGTTACTAATCAAAGACAGCAATGGTTTTTCTCTAATCAAGCATACCGACAACCACATTATTTTATTTATTTATTTATATTAAAGTTCTATACTGCCCTTCATACGAAGACCACAGGGCAGTTTACAATATAAAAACGCAAAACACATAACATAGTAACAAACAATAACCCGCCACAGAAACAGAAGAACATAGATTGTTTAATTAACCAAATGCCTGTGAGAAAAGATTTTTGCCCGGCACCTAAAGATATGTAACCAAGGCACCAAGCAAGCCTCCCTGGGGAGAGCATTCCACAACTGGGGATCCACCCACCGCAGAAAAGGCCCGTTCTTGTGTTGCCACACACCAGCCCTCTCATGGAGGGAGCACACAAAGGGCCTCCTATGATGATCACTGGGTCCAGGTCAGTTCATGTGGAGAAAGGCAGTCAAAATAAGTCTTTCTGCCTTTGTCCACTGTGATCATATACAGTGGTACCTCGGGTTGCATACGCTTCAGGTTACATACGCTTCAGGTTACAGACTCCGCTAACCCAGAAATAGTGCTTCAGGTTGAGAACTTTGCTTCAGGAGGAGAACAGAAATCGTGCTCTGGCGGCGCGACAGCAGCAGCTGGAGGCCCCATTAGCTAAAGTGGTGCTTCAGGTTAAGAACAGTTTCAGGTTAAGTACGGACCTCCGGAATGAATTAAGTACTTAACCCGAGGTACCACTGTATTGAGAAATTATTCCATAGTTCTTTTCTTGTTATGTATTCATTAATTCACGCCCAGTTCTGTACCTTCCGTTCCCATTTCCTGTTGTGTTTTCTATCCTTATTTCAAAAATTGGTCCTTTAAACTTCTTCTATTCTGTTTTTCAAATAAAAGCACCAGAGGCTTAGTAGCTTTTTCCACTAAGTTCACTCAAAGTTGTACACAGAGCGCTTTCTCTCTCTGCTTTATCGATGCCAGATCAGGATGCCTCACTTATCCATGGCTTCATTCCATTCCTCCAACATCACAACTCCACCATTCTCTCTGTTCAAGATGACTTGATGTGAGCTATTTAGGGACAGTGATTAATCTATTCTTTATGGCGAAATTGCTCTAGCAATCCAGGTTTGGCCACTGCCTATGCTGGCTGGGGAAGAAGAACCAAGCTGGGAGTTCAATATCATTTGGAGGACCACAGGTTCCCCTCTCCTCTAATCCACCTGAGCGTGCAGGTTAGAAATCAACGGCTAGAGCATATTCTATCATTCAAAAACTCATAAAGGCTCTCAGAGTGGCATGACATGACATTAATTGCAAATAAAACTTGAAAGAGCTGGTAGAAACTTAATGCATGATGCTGAAAAAGCTGGACTAACCTGAAATGAACGTCTACGTTCTGCTTCTTAAATATTCTCTTAAGAAGCAACAGCAGACTCCAGTGCCACTTTATCGAAACACAGATCTGTTTCCTTAATCATATTTTCCACAGTAGCAGAAGCCAAACCCATTGATTCATCTCCTAATTGCCATTCTTACAATGACCTACTTTTGCATTGTCTTAGGGTGTTGCTCCACCCCGTTCTTTCTCTCCCATGTCTCTTAATACTTCCTGTTTGTGAGTCTGTTTAATTCAATAGTTTCAGCTTTTAAACCATGCCAAGAAGAGCTGAATATTGATGGCAGACATACTGCACTACGGATTATCTATCTGATGGGGAAAGAAGTACAGAGAAGACCCAGCTTGACTTCTGCTGTTTGATTTCTGGATCTTCATGCAAGACATGGAGAAAGGTTTGTTCTAGCTCCTTTTCTAATGTATCCCCCAGAATCGAAGAAGCTGGGTTAAGACTTGATAAGTACTAGATAGTAAGAATATTTGCTTTGTAGGTTGAGGAGCCACTAGCTGATTATAGGAAAATAAAAGTCAGACCCTAAAATAAATCCACTGGAAGTTTCAAAAATGGTGATAATCGTATTTTTGCAGCTAGGAGGTTCAGCAATTGTAATTAAGTCTCCTCCTTGGAGCGACACTTAAATATTATGCTGACATTTCAGCTGATATATATATATGAACCTGCTTTGTAATGAGTCATTAATCTATTTAGCCCAGGATGATCTGATTAGACCCAGCTCTCCAGGTTGTTAAGAATGCATATTTCCTGGCCTTCCCTAAAATGTTTTGAGTAGCAATCCTAAGAACTGAATGGGGTCTTTTAGATGCCAAATATGCATTCAGCCACTGAGCTATGCCTCCCCCTCCAAAACGTGCCTTAGCTGTAGCAAATATTATCTACATTATTTTCCCTTCGGTGTTTGACCAGCAGCCCACATTGGTTTGTTCCCAGATGCCATTCAGGATTTTGTGGTTAAGCAACCGCATTGGCTGGTGTGGTTAATTTAGCAATTGTTCTTCATGCTTTGCAACCTGATGACAATTAGAGGTCTTGAAATTATATGGTATTCTCTGAAGAGGGCTCGGATCATTAAATCTCATGGCCTTTCCTAGTCTTCTTCTCTGGTTGGTCACTACCGCACAATTAATATATTTAGGCTACCTATGCTAGTTTCTAATACAATGGAAAATGTCATGACTGGATGGATGGATGGCAGTACCTTGAACCAGAAGTTGCAAGTTTACCTGTTTAAAAAGTAAAGCCGTCCTGGGTGCATTAAACAAGAATGAATTGATCTTTACTGCCATAGCGCTGGCTGTGTGTCTTTTACATTAGTTCCTTTGATACTGTCAAATATATGATACCAAAATGCAGTGTATTTTAATTGTTTTGGAGACTGAGCAGTTGAATTTGCAGTTTCAGATTTAAATAAATGAAGTAAGCGCTGCTTACGGCCATCCAATTTTTCGGTACAGCACAGCATTTGGTCTGGTCATTTGTTCTTTGCTACAGTTTCAGGGAATTTGGTTGTTTTGAATCGTTCCATGTGTGAATATATAAACAACAATCTTACATCCATGCCACCAATCAACCCACGTTAGGGAAGGGTTTGCCGGAGTATGCAAAGCGGAAGTGTGTGGTTAGCTGCAATATTGAAAGGCAAGGAGTGTATAAGTAATGTGCTAGTTTGTCCATGAAAGCTGATAATGCATGAAAGCTGATAATGCATAGAAACCCAGGAACATCAGGGTAATACTGAGTACATGCATGATCCAAGCCAATAGACATTTCTGAAAAAATGAAATGAAAGGTGGCAGAGCACATACTATGCTCAGCATCCCCAGTTGCTGATCAGGTACCAAGCAAAGCTAGTGACAGCTTTTGCAGGAGACCTGGCAAAGCTACTACTAGTTAGACTACAGCAGATGAAGGCAGCATTGTCCTAGATTAGGCTAGCTAGGTGGGGAAAAGAGAACAGGGCTCCTGTACCTTTAGCAGCATAGATCCTGCGTTTTTCCTCATCAGTTGACACTTGTTCAAAATAGAGTTGATTGGAATAGGAGGAAGGGAGACAGGAAACCAACTCTTAAAACATGCCAGTTAACACCCAACCCCCAAACCAGTTCTTCATCATGGAAAATTTAGGGTTGCATCCAGTTTCAGTCATATTCAGAGGAGACCCAATGAAATTAATGGACACTGCTTAGTTCCACTAATTTCAGTGTATTTACCCTGAGTAGAACTTAATTGGATCTAACCAGTAATTTAAAAGAAGCTCGTGTTTGGAAACAGAGACACAGCTCCTGGGAAAGGTAAATTTACTCTCAGGGAAAACATATTGGGTTCCATCCAGAACTAGGATGGCAACTAAGATTCACTTATCTGGGAGCAAACTTCATTCAATGACGCTTTGGAGAAAACTTGTATAGGATTGTGCTGTAACTTAGTTGGATTTTGGCTACAGTCCTAACCTCCGGGCAACAGGGGTGAGCTTGATGGAGCTATACAGCCCTGTCACTCACACCAGCCAGATCAGAAGGTGCAGAGCAAAAAATGCCCATTTACTGTGCCAACTCCCAGAACAGACCCATTGTCATTTGCGTTGGGTGATGCTGCTGGCAGTAGCTTTTGCACCCCCTCCCTTCCCCATCTGTGTGGGCCCATTGG